CGATCGGTTGGGTTTTGGGCATCTGTAATCTTAGATACACCAAGTCGGGCCCTACCTGACATTGGGAGCTCGGGGCATCTATGCTAAGTGTAACATTCCACAGTACATGTACATAGAGGAATGTAAAACCAGTGTTGTATAAGGCTTCGGGCAAACCCATAATAAGACCACTGGGCATAGAAGGCTAAAAAACTGAAGAGACAGAAACTCACTTGAAAATCCCGAGTAAAGAGGTAGCACAAACTTTCGATGGTGCCATTGGACTGATGAAAGCTCATGAAACACCTTCATAGGAACTGTTGGATGAACTGGATGACAAAGATGTATAAAGGAGCACATGACCAACCAGGCTGCCGGAATCGTCAGAGGAAAAGGATACATAAGTATACTATACCGGGCCATCTGAATTGGGAGTCTAGGGAAGTCCGTTGTTGGTCCGAGTTGCGGCTAGTAGGGGATGATGGAGAAGAAGTCAGAAAGATGAGTACCAGAGTTTGGGTGAACTTTACAAATGTAATAGCAGTTTAAGGAGTAATCCTAACTGCAAGTGTTGGCCCTGGTCATAGTGTCAAACCAGGTTAGCAGTAAAAGGAAATATGGCTCACTTTGGTAGGTTTACCTCGAGGATAAAAATAGTCTAAGGATTATAGTCCTATAGTCGAATGCAAATAGATTTGGGTCTGTGATCTGGTGAAATTAATACTAGGGTTAGATCAGAGAGTTTAAATAGAACATTTAAGCAGGAGGTGTTAGGTACGGCAACTGGTAGGGAACCCTTGGGCAGACTCCTTAAATAGGTAATATAGAAAAGTTACACGTGTAGCCAGTTGTACACTCATCTAATAGTTCATTATAGATACGTCTATATAAAACATATACCCACTATAAGTATTAATAAAAAGCTTAGACCAAAGAGGTCACCTTAATACTGAAAAAAAAAAAAAACTAATAGTAGATTTATATTTAAAAGTTACAATATAAATAATAACAACAGTATAAACCAATACAAAATCTTTTAGTTATGCATTAAAACAAAATATAGCAAATCTAATAGATCTAAAAATAATGCAATTGCAATACAAATACAAAGTTAGACTAAGTATATAATATAATAATTAAATTTGTAAATTACTGAAAATTTAATATAACAATCTAGTTATTAAACAAAATAATTACAACATTAAATAGTATTTTAAAAATAAAAAACTTTACAAAATACAAATTAAAAATACAACTAACAAAATACCAAATCTTAGCAACAATATATCTTAAATTTAAATACTTAGACCCAATCTTTTTTATTTCTTTTACAACAAATAAACCAATTATATCTGCTTATTAAATCAAATTTACAAATCTATTTAGAGAAGCTGTCAAGAATACAAAAACAAAAATAGAATTATACTAACAAACAGACAAACTTAAGATGCTATTTAACAAATATTAAAGCAAAAACTTGTAATAAAATACTTAACAAATCTTAATTTTAAATACTGCAATCTAAATAACATTTACAGAATAATTAAATACTGTTGCAACTTTATTTGAGCATAACTAATTGAAGATATGAAAAAATTACAAAATAAAATTAATTAGACATATAGCATATTATGACATTTTCTATTTAGCAAACTATCAAAAATCGATATTAAAACTATAATAATTATATCTTTTAAATTACTAATTGGTAAAAGATTACAAATTTGAGCTATAGCAAGCTTATTATATACTATATTCTATTTTACAATTTTATCAGAATTATACTTTATCATATTATCTAAACTGTCCAACAATCTACAAAAACTTAAAAAAAAACTAAAATTATTTTTTCTAATAACAGATCTTAAATAATTTGATTAGCTAAGATACATACTATTATACAAAACTAATTAATTATTATTATACAAATTTGGTGAAATTTTAGCAATATACTTTAATTTATCACTAAGAAAAAAACTACTACCAACTATTTATTATAAACTAAATAACAAAGTTAGACATCTATTTGTACTAGACAAATAAAAAAAAATATAAACATTTAAAAATAATAAACTTATTAAGAGAATACTATAAATTTAAACTGTTATCAAATAACTTTTTCATATAAAAGTCAATGCTACCAAAAATACACAAAACATAAAACTCAATACTCAATTCAGTTATCTTATAACAGATAATGATATAGCAAAAAAAATTTTGAATCAGATAAAAATAAAATACAAAATATAGTTTCTTATAAGCAAAAAAAAATAATGATTGCTAATTCAATATATAAACTAAAACTACCAAAATTATAGTATAAAAATTACAGAATACAACATTATTATACCAATTATATTTTTTAAAATACTAGTAAATATAGTTAAATTATTTTGTAAATACTTTTACTTTGATCAAATACCAGCACATTGGATTAAAATATTAAATAAACTGCAAAAAACAAATACTTAACTGAATGTAACAAATAAACTAACAATTCTATCAATATTGGTTCAATTACAAGAAATGTTTGAAAACAAAACAAATGAAATATATATTAACTTACTAATTATACAATAAGCAGATATTATATTTACTTTAACAATACTTAAACAATATTTTAAAATTTCAAAATTTCAAACTATATTTTATAATTACTATTACTTTTAAAACCAACATGAGATATTTTATTCAAATAATAATGACTAAAATATATCAAAATAGATACAACAATACTATAGTAAAAACACTAAATATATATTATCACACAATATTAATTAAAATAACTAAAGTAATCTTATATAATATACAAAACACTAATAGCAAAATTAAACAGCAAGCTCCAGAAAAAAAAAATATATAATTTAGAAAAGAAGCTAAAAAGATATTACTAGAACTTGTTATAAAAGAAAGAAGAACTTTTTTTTCTTTTTGAACTTTAAGTAATTAGACAAGCAACTTACTTTAACATGTTTAAAGTAGTGCAGCAGGTTGCACTTAGGTACTATTTGGGTGGTCAGATGATGCTAAACTTAGTTGTTAGAAACATCTATGTAATTGCTAATGTAATTTCCAAAATCTTAATAAAATACTAACATGACTGCTTAAGTTTTTTTTTTAAAAAAAAAAAAAAAATTTTAATAATATGTTGTTGGATTCTAACTATTTAGAGTCTATTGCTTATTAGAAAAAAGATTGATCCCATCTGTCACATTCGTTACATGTGACTAATCAGTCACATGTAATAAATGTGTCAGATATCAGCAATTGGTCAGAATGGTATTTTGGAAGATAAGTATAAGATATTTAATCATATAATAAGACATTTTCTTCATCGGATTTTCTGTTATTTCTGTATGACCAATATTGATGTTATTGTTTATATTATATTAGCATGTGAAATTTTCTGTCATGATATTTTGTATAAATGATGATGTTATTTTATGACAAAAATATCAAGCCAAAAAATTTTGCATGATCATATCACATGAACAATAACAGTAGAATATGATGCATATGGCAGGATGCAAATAGAATTTTACAATTATAAATAAAAGCCAAAATGCCCTTCGGAAAGAACAACTTCCCCTTGTCAAATAAAAACAGTACATAATACATATCGCTCATAATCGCTTGTTAAATGATAGTAAACCTGGTTACTTTATTATAAATAATCGTCACCCATACTACATAATCTGCCCTAACTTGTTATTACATAAAGTACGCTAGTACATTTGCCCAATAACGAACCCAAAACCACCTTCGCCATAGAACCCGACTTATACCATATTAACCACTCGCCAAATCTAACACGCCTCATTCGACCCATATTACCCTTCCTAAGTGGTTACACGACATACCCATTGTGGAGCCGTTTTACGTTTACAACGTATATGTTTGTTGGACAAATCTCATGCTGCGCGATTCGTGTATCACGTTCCTGGTTTCAGCGCGATACGTCACGCAATTACCTAATTTCATAATGATAATGATTAACGATAAAGGAGATTAGTCCGAATTCTCTAAAAAAAGTATTGTGAAACTATTTTCGCATTTGGCACATTCTTTCTTGGACGTATAACGATAATGTCATCTGATATTATAACTCATAATACTGTAATAAGTTGACATTAATTAAACCTCTTTAAAAACCCGTATATATCAATATAGATGATATTTAAATGCCTCCAAAAAATATTAAAAGTATAGTATGCTACTATTTTTTTTTTTTTTTAAGAAAAGATATTATTATTGTATTCATGAAAAAAAGCATTTCAAAACTTAAAAAACTTAAAACCAAATTGCAAATAGAGTAACTATAGAGCTTCGAATTCAAGTTTATTTTTTAAAAAGAGGACGTTTGAAATCTAATCAAGAAACTTCTAAACTACACAAGCTTCTAATTTTAAGTTTTTCTAAAAAAAAAAGGACATTTGACTAATAAAAATATAAATTTGTGGCTAGTAAAAGTTAGATCAAATGAAATTCCATCTATTTCCGACAGAAGTACGCACGTACATAGCGGTAGAGGTAGTGGTAGGAAAAAAATAAGTTAACCAGTTATGGGTCTTCATTGTAATTCTTCATAAACCAAATATATACAAAAACAGGCTGCTTTCTTGTAAAGTATCGGTATATTTATAATGGACGCACCGGAGTTTATACGTAAATGTCAATATTTGAATTCAGATCCTCGAATGTAAGAGAATTCCGTATCTATACACATTTGAATCAAAGCCCACCTGCATTTATATATATATATATATATATATAAATAAAATAAAAATAAAAATAAAAATAAAAAAAAGTTATTGTCAATAATCGATTTATTGCAAAAATTTCTAAAAGCGTTTAACGCCATTCTATATACAATTCTAGCAACAATTATTATTATTAAAAAACTATACAAAATTTAGTACGTACTATGTTTACCAAATAAACAAATTTATGTCGAATAAATAGAAATATGAATGCTTAAAATAAATCTTGTGATTTACAATTTTCCTTTCTCGTCACTACCATCACCGTTTTTTTTCATTAACAATGTTCTCTTCAATATCATCAATACTAGAAATATTTGCATCATTTCTTTCACAAAAAAAACCAAGATTTATCATACAATTATTACCAACATTTCCGACGGTTTTATTTTTATTAAACCTACTATTTTTATTAACCCAGTCTTTAAACTTTTCACATTGTAACATTTCATCACCTACCAATCTAACTTCGAATCCACTTTTAAATTTTGCTTTCATAATAGGGTCAACCATTTCTTCACTTAAATTTGCACATTGGGTAATTTCGAGTACATCCATATTTTTACAATCGGAAAGTATGCATAATGGATCACATCCTTCAAAGTTTACGTTATCAAATCGAATATATCGAATTGTAGAAGTATGCAATCCTAAGACCGGTAGGATTGCACTGGTGTAAGCTTTGCAATTCGATAATTCAAAAGATGTTAATGAATTTTGGACCGCAAATAAGGAGGTTAGCGAGTCACGAAAGATTCCGACGAGCCGATCGTCATTACGACGTGCCCACAAAGTTGTGACGCGCATATGTTCCTATTTAAATTGAATAGATAAAATTATTATTAGTGAAAACTAAGACTAAAAATAAAATAAAAAGATGACTTACGATTCCATGACATCTTTGAGACAACAATTGTAACAATCCATCCATTCTAACCATACCGCTAAATTCCAAGGTTCTAATGGGTGCGAACAGGTCTTTAAATTCATCATCAACTAATGACATATACATTTCGTCGTTTGAGGGATCAAATTGGTCAGGACATAAAATCAACTCATGTAATCTTGCACCTTTGTTCAAACAAAGTTTTAATAACGATCGAAAGATTAAGATTTCAGCATTTTCAAGCAAGTCATGGCTTTGAGTTTTTTCCATTTCAATTGATAAGTAGTAGCACCAAGCTTCGACGGCTTTTATCATTGAAGTGTAATTTAATCTCCGAAGGAATCCAGGATAATTAAATAATGGAGGGTTTGTTGTAATATTATTTGAATAGAAACTTTTTTCTTTAATACCATCGATTGCAGAGTTTTCACTACAATTTGAATGGGCATTTGAATGGGTATCTGAATGGACATCTAAATGGTAGTTTAATATCTCGGAAACGTCAATCCCTTGATCTAAAAGGAACAGTTTATCTTGATCATCAAAGCACTTGACATACATCTGAATGACCTTTTCATTATACGGTTCATGCTTAAGACCGTGAAAAAAAGGTCTACTCCAAAGAATCGGGATTGCGATTTCACACCATTGACTATTTACTAAAATACATGAGTATAAATCTCTTATCCCGTTATTAAAATGTTGGTCGGAAGAATTACTTGTGTCAAGAAGGTGTAAAAAAACTTCGCGAAGGACATCTGATACTAGTAATGGAGACATGTTCATGGATCATTCATTGATGTTGCGCATACATATACATATACATATACATATAAATATAGGTTATAGAAATTTAATGGTTATCCGACAAAATTGGCAATTGGGAGTAATGTCCACCAAGTTCCGAGTTCTCCAAATTTACAAATTATTTATTAAAATATAGGTTTTGAGAAAAAGAATTCTAGCAATGAAAAAAAAAAAGGTGTAAACATCTGCTTTTATGTTTTTTTTTTTTATTAAAATAATAAAACTAAATTAAAACTTCCATTTGAAGAAATTTAAATTATCATTTTTTTTTTTTTTTTACACACATTGCCTTAAAAACAACGCTAGTGACTTACATCATTGATTTTGAGACGTTAGATTGCGCATGAATGAGCATTTTCTAGGAATAGGTTTATTATGACGACAACAAGGAAATCTAGGTTTAAGTTTGTAATAAGGTTTGACAAAAGTTCGATATATATATCATTTAGTACGTATTAAAGTAGCTAATAACTTTTGAAGCACGAGCCAACAAGCCACGATTTACATATCGATATGTTGCTTTAACAACGAGTCACTGAACAAGGAAGTAATCTTTAGCATATATACTAATATAAATACGTATATCATATACAAAGCTATAATATAAGCGTATAAATATAAAAAATCTAAAATAATCTAAAGTAACGATAGGAAAATGATCCATACCAGGGACCATCGTGTGACATGTTATTGTTCTTTGTTCATCTTAATATAAATCATAGTTTTGTGCATCTTGCATCTTACGTATTTAACTATGGCCAAAGGTCTCACAACATTTTTAGACCATGATTTTCCGAAAACGTGGGGACATTTTGTACGTACTTGGGGCATTCAATTACTAAAGATGTCTCATCCTAAAAATTTATATACATTTTTAATTAACCCATAAAAAGATTACGCAGTAGGCCAGTTAGATCCGCGGGCGTAAACTCCTTTACATTTCAGAAGACGTAACATTCATACCAAGTACCAACATAACAAAAAATAAGGTCGCGTTCACTTTTACACATTTTTTTAATGCAAATGCGGTTTGAGTTATGTTATTTGTATAAAGCTTTTTTTATTATAAGAATGTTTGATTAATAAAAAGAATTATAAATCGATTAAAAATTTTTTTACTAAATTTATTTTTATTTTAAATAATTTTAAAAAAATAAAACATGTGCACAGACTTCTAGATTAATTTTTATTGTTTAATGATGCAAAACGTAAAACTAGAATATCTAAATTGCGCGGATGTATTGTATCTTTTTTTATATGCAACATAAATTGTTCCCTTCAAATATACATTCGGCATACAGTATTAAAGTTTGCATCCAAACAAACATTTTTAATGTAAAATTCCTTGGTTAATAGAATTTCATTTTCAATAAAGAATATATAAAATGTTTGGTTCATAAAGGAATGAGTTTACGTTTAAAAAAAAACTTTGAATTTGATGACCAATTGCCAACAGTTTTATTTATAGGCATTTAGTATAAAAAGTTTTTAAAGATTTGATTATTCGTTATGATTCGTGGGGAAACTAAAAAAAAACCCTTGTTAAATATAAATCAAGCGATAAATGTAAATAAATGTAAATAAATGTAAATCCTATTTTTTATAAAGAATGCACATCAGAATTAATAGAGTTCTGGATCATGGCAAGTTTACCTTTGTACTTTATATATTTGGTAATGAATGATAATAAAACAGTCCTATTTTTTCTATGTAATTAAGCATATATGGTTCTCATTTAAGCCGGAATCTTTGATTCTACAGATGACATTACTTTTTTGGGTCATGAAAATAGATTTTACTTTGGTAAATGATTTAGGTTCGAGAAATAAAGCTCTTCTTTCGAAGATTACTTTAAGAAGTAATCTACTACATGTATCTAAAACAGTATTCAAAGTGTGTCAAGAATATTCTACGCAAAAATTCGGGTTAAATTTGAAGTAAAAGCGCAGTAACCAATTCCATAATCAAATTTGTCAGACACATCACGTGCATATCCAGGTCAATCAAACCTCTAACGTAAATTAGTAATCGTACGCATATACATTCTCTTTATGTTAAATGTATCGAACGCCTAATCATGTGCGCAAATACCTACAGTTAATTTGTTACACCGAATCTTCTAGGCATCATGTGCGCAAATACTTACAGTTAATTTGTTACACCGAATCTTCTAGACATTTCGGTAGGTTTCATTATCGTTACGTATACTGTTATCGTTATACGGTTATCGTTATGCCGTATAGCAAACATACAAGATTTTCAGAGCAGCTAGTTCGATTTAGAGAAAGGCGATATTTAACAAAGGATTATTCATGTTTATAAATATTTTCTCATTATATGACGATAACATTTCTTATTTGTGCAATTCAGTTGGCTAGCACAAGGAAATTGCATATGAATGAATTTTTTTGGTTAAAACTTAAATGACGATATTCATAAAATTTATTCCAATTATTTGTGATATTGCATAATTACCGAAATTAAAAAATATAATAATATAATAAAAAATTGACTTATACAATTATATTTGGTAATTTGTTTATGAAACGCTTATGAAGCCGCCTATAAAACTGCTTATAGGACATATGACGTTAAATGATTTATATATCATGCTTTTTTTTTGTGGTTTTTTGTTAAATATAACCATAGTGAAATACTTATTAGTTAAATCAACTCGAATAATCTTTTTGTGAATGTGTAAACTTACATAGAACATCTTGATGGTAATGGTTGAGTGATTGTTATAAACTTTAGAATTATTAACAAATTATTTGTCAGACTATGTTTTATTTTACGATTCTGATTAATACAATATTCTACAAAAGAACACGTACAATATTATTTAGTCATTGTGTATGTCCTATGTGCGTACCTGAACTTATTTGTATATATTATTGTCCACTTTCTAATTACACGATACACAAATTTTGATCATTTTATATATATATGATATACAAATTTTGGTTACAAATAATGATCACTTTATGCAATATTGTGTTATGTATGAAAATACATAAGCTTTGCTCATTTTAAATGTTTACAAATTTTATGCGTGTATTAGCAAATTTAAAAAGTTAAATGAAAATCAATTAATTTACGAAAGTTTTAAGTTGATGTTCAGGTTGTATGTTTGTGGTAAAGGAGTTTAATGATAATTTTATTACAGATATTAGAGAGCTTTCTTTTATTCTTGTAATATGGATTAAAAAGTAGAGAATTAGGTTTAACAAGTAATTTGAAAGGAGCCATTACTGATGCATATTTGTTATAAGATTTTGGTTTGGAAATTCTTGATTTCAAATTTGTTGTTAAGATATATAATATTAATTAAAAAAAACTTTTTTGAAATTGTTTTAAACAGACAAAACATATTTAATAATATATATCTTCTTAATGATTCTTAGCTACTTTGGGGTCTTTTTTTGTTACATGTAGGTATTTTTCAACTAGTTTTGTTTGTTTTTTAAATTAATTTCAAGGTTTTTACTACTTTTGAAGTTACTATTAAAAAGTTAAAAAAATATATTTCAATTAGAATAAGGTTATTTAAATAATTTATATATAATTATTAAACTTATTCTTTATTTAAATCAACAAATATACAAAAACTCTTTTCGATGATCATTTGAACCAAACTTTCCAAAAAGCTGAACTACAGAAAATGATATAGTTAATATATTAAACTTTATGAAA